CTAGATGTGTTGTTAATGCAATAATTTGAATTCCTGACTTTTTCCAAGTCCCAACTTAAGCTTTAATATGCACACATATGTCATTTTTCTATTCCTGTCTTCTCATTAAGTGTACAGCTGGAGAGAGATGCTTTTTATGGCAACTAAGATGTTTTTTATATGTTGTGATTAGATGGAAGATGTTACATGTGTGAGCTAATTGTTTAAGACTAGTAACATTGTGTTATAAAGGGGTTACTTTTATTTTCTTTAAAGGTCCTTCCAAATTTCAGTTTTGTTAAATTGATTTAGCAGCAGCTAGTATATTGATTTACAGTATCTTTCATAATTACTTTGCTTATAATCCAGACTGTAAATAGAGGGAAGAAGAGAAGATTTTCGTTTTGTAGCCTGTTTTAGCATGTTTACAACTAATTTTTTTCCCCTAAAGTACAAAATAAATCTGGTAAAATGAATTTGCATCTGGTTGGCAGATTTCCTTAGTGGAGAAGCTCCAATTCAATGTCAAAATTAGTTTAAGCGTTTATAGGTTTTCAGGATTTTTACTGGAATTTGAAGTATTGTGTTTTGAAACAATGAACAAATCAGTTGTCCCAAAGGTATTTGTTCATATTCTAATTTTGGAGAATTTTATTAGTATTCTAATTTAAAAATATATTTTATGTTCCATATTGTACCTTGGGATTTCAAGTTGGGCTTGCTTAAATTGAAGAAGTACACACATGTATAAAATTCCTTTTGAGTGCTTAATGACAGAAGGTTCTCATCTGAAGGAGGTTGCCAAGTTAGCTGAAATCCTCTCATTTGGTAAAATGTGTTACTTATTAATAAGAATGGAGTCACAAAATGTTTTCTGGTATATAGTAAGCATCACATGTATTTTTTTTTAACTTTGATTTTAAGAGTGAGCATATATATGGTATCCCATATTCTCTTTATTTTCTTCATATAATGATTAACAAATGTATTTATATTTGAAAGAGGTCTCCTGAGCAAGGTAAAGAGAAAAAATGACATGTCTAATAAAAGGCATTTGCAAACTAAAAATAGCTTGACTATCACGTTGTTATGAATCCCTTCTTCTGCATTTATGTTCAATGCCAAGCTCATAAACTCATGACTTGCTGGTGTAAATTAATGTGAGTTTGTGAATGTCCAACATTGCAAAACATTCAAGTCCCTACAGCTTTAGCATTACATTCTTGGCTCGTTTCTAGTGTGTCTTTCAGTCTTCACTCTCTCCATCCAAATCTCTTCTAAATAACTGTTTTTAAAGGATGCTGAAAAAGCTCTATGAATCTTTCGTTTTCAGCAAACTTGTGGGCCTAGCTAGGCTTACCAGTGCTTCTTGTTTTATATGTCTGACTTGTTTAGACTGTCGACAGATGCTGCCCAAAATATGTGCATCTTAGACTGCACAGATATTTACATATAAATGTTGCCCCTTGTGCTCTATCATCACAGTCAGAATGACACAGAAAAATATTGCTTCTGTAATATTTTGTAGTTAGACTACATTAATTTAAACCAGTGGTGCTCAATCGCTGGCCCATGGGGCAGACCTGGTCTGTGGAGCACTTCTGATCCACTTCTGGGTCCACCACAGAGTGCGCAGGTGCCCCTCCACCCCCAGCTTGGCGACTGGTGCCTCCAGGTCATGGGGGGCATCCAGGGTCCCCCCATGGCCAATTGCCAAGCCAGGGGTTGTGGTGGGTGGGTCCACTGCCGAGCATGTGGGGGGCCCATCCGCCGCGCTTCTGTGGGACACTCCATCCGTCCCACCATCTTAGCATTCACGAGCCGCACCTGCTACCTTGAGGTATGTAGAAAAACATTTAAAGCTGTGTCTACGGCCAAATTGCTGATTCTCCAAATCGGCATCGAATCCTCAGGTTTGGATTCGGCCGAATCGAACTGGGACAGTGATTCGAATCAACGAATCAAATCACTGCCCCCCGAATCAAGCTGAAGCCAAATCTGAATCAAATACAGCCCACTTTACATGCTCTTAATGCCCAGACATTTTTCAGGGGCAGTGCTAACTTGTTTTTTATCTTTTTTCTGAAAAGCAGTTCTAGAATTGTTTGAATTTTTTTTAAAATTGAGAATATCAGTATAAAGTCACTGACAGTACATTATTAGATCTGCATTTCATTAAAGTTCTCTATGTAGCAGGCCTTATAATTATAGTTGTCTGATGTAAATGTTAACAGGTCATGCGCTTAATAGAATCATAAGAATATGATCCAGTATTTGTGTCTAAGATTGATTATACTTCCAGCGAGCTGCATTACAAAATGGAACTTGGGTTGCAAACCAAATTTAATTGATTTATAGTTAGATGATGCTCAGTATCAAACAGTGAACAATTTTCTGAATGCTTACCCTTTGCCTTTATCGTGGAATTTTATTTTTTTTCTGAAGGAGTGTATGTTCTGAATTAACTTACGAAATTCATAACATTTCATTCCTTTTATGGACTCCTGTAGTACACTAGGTTACTATTAACTTATATCCCTGAAAAGTCAAAGAAATGAAAAAGAATTCACTGCATTCAGAAACCTTTTCTATGTCTCTCACAACCATGAAGTCCATCCAATAAAGAATAGCACCCACAAAAATACTTTCCTTTCACATTTCGTGGATTGTCATAGCTACATCGTCACTCGAACACCAACACTTACTGTGTGATATTCTGAAGACCAAAAGTTTGCAGACAGTTTCTGTTTTTGCTTCTTATTTTACTTCTGCTTTAAGTATAGCTATAATCTGTCAAATGTTTTGCATATGATACAAGTGTACATGCTGAATTTTTAACTGCTATAAAGTGGTTTGAGGTTGAAGGAAATAAACAGATTGAAATTAGTGATGGGATAGTATCAAGTTTTAAATGCTTAGCGCTCATTCCAGATGACAAGAATCTGTATGTAAAGGAATGGAATGTTAACCTAATTCTATGGAAAGGTACAATACAGTATGCAACAATCAATTGTCCTTCTCTGGAGAAATGAAAAGAAATTTTTTTACCCAGGTCTGAAAGTGTGATTTGCTTGCATTGTACTATGAGACGTCAGTGTATTAGCTTGTGTTCCACACTTTTTGGTTTTGATTTTTTTTGTTTGTTTTCCTTGTGTTTTATTGTTCACTGTACACCATTAAGAATGAAGCAGGTGCTCAGACTAACGGGGGAGCTGTCAATAAATGAAGGGCCTTAGCCACACACATTTTTAAAAAAATTCTTGAAAAAACCAAATGACTAAGATTTTCTGCACTTCTTTTTACTACGTTAGTTGTAGAGTAATAGTAGACATTTGGATTTAGTCAATTAGATTATAATAATTAGGTGTCTACTTAAATTGTGGAGAAACTAAACAATTTTCGTGGGTTGGTTATGGCATAAGTAGCAAATGCCATGGATATTTCCTGGATGTGCTCCGGTGGTCCTGCCCCTCAGCACTGTTTGGTGGAGAGGCCCAAGTGGGGGAAGGAGGGACTAGGGAGTAGCCACCATCTTGTCTTCTGAATGCCCTTTGTGTGGCCTTGCTCCTTGGTGCCGATTGGTGGAGAGGCCCTGGCAGAGGAGGAAAGGACGAGGGGGCAGCTGCCATCTTGTCTGCTGCCTGTTGTGCCACCTGACAAGTCGGGGCCTCTCCACTCCAGGCCAATGAGGACCTCTGGCATTTTATTTTATTTTTATTAAGATTTTATTTTAAGTTGATTTTGCAGACACTCCTGGATTTTGCAGTTTCTGCGAAATCTGCAGAATCGCAAATTGAGTAGACCCTTAATATAATCCATCTATATTGAAATGATTTAAAATCTTTGATAGCAGTCTACGATGGATGGCCATTTCTTCAAACATCATGTCAATAACCAGGATGTTACTATGCTGATTCTGTGCAGATGGAGAGAGAAATCATTGATGGAAAGTTAAATTCAGGAAACTCAGGAAGCTGAATTATATTGATAATATTCATTTTTGGTGTCTCTTCTCTCCCTAGACATATAATGGTCCTGAAATCTGCAGCTGTAACAATATAATCAGAACATAGCTCATTTATTTCTACATCACTGTCGTGTTTTTATTATTGCCCAGACTGTTATGGAGTACTTTTAGGTGACGTAAAGCCTAGAGTTTGTTTCTGCACCTATTTTCATCTTTACCAGTTATCAGTTCTCAAGTTATGCAGGATCAGGCATTCATGAGTATATGGAATGAAAACAGCAAAATAAAACTTAGGAGGTTAGGAAGAAGGGTTAGCGATTCTTTAAGCCAGTGAGTCATAACAGAAGCATTGCTTCAGTGTGGTTTTAGGGGAAGACTGTATTTTAGAATAGACATCTTTTGATGAAACACAAAACCATGTCTGACTACTTGTGATTATTAAAGATCTCCCCATACAAGAGTAGGAGTGTTATCCGCTGTGTTTTTGCAAAATTCTGATTTAAGTAATTGCACTCTGTCTCCATAACCCCTCACAGCTTTGTTAGGAGATGGTATCTCAATCTAGCTTGTAAAACATTTTGGAAATTTCTGCGTGAGAAACCCTTCACATTTAAAAACAGTTTGCACATTTTGTTACAAGAATGGAAAGGAAGAGTTAATTATAAAAAGATGATAAAGGAAGCAATAGCAAGATTTAACAGGGTCCGAGATGGAGAGTGAAGAGGAAGAGGTGAAAGAAATTGGAGAAGATGGGTTAGATGACAGGAAAGCTAATCAGGAGCAGTTGAAAAAGAGCCGCTCCTGGATTGTGGTGGAAAGATGAACTGAATTTTAGACTTTGTGGATAATGCTTCACATTTTTTGCCTGGGACACTGCGCAGATACTTTTGTGTGTCCTTTTCCTCCTCTGAGGCACTAGTGTATCCTTGCTAGTGATTCTCCTCTCCTCTCCTCTCCTCATTTGAATTCTCTTTTTTTTTCCTTTTTAGTTTTGTTTTTTAAAGTGTTTTTGCTGTATCACCAGCTTTACAGTATAAACATGTCTTGTTATTAGGGTGAACAGAGGGCATTGGGATTTCACACTGTCTACGGCTGGCAAGAATATGCGTATTTCCATGAAGCAAAGGTAGTTCCTGTTTGAAAAATTGTACGTTTGGAATACAGCCATTTTTCTGAACAGTTGGCAGTGACAGATGATATTATATAACACACAGACATTTGTGGCTGAAAAATAGAGAATTCTAATTATTGGGCCCTCAAAAGTTATCTCAGATCTAAATCTTATCAGAACTACTCTTTTAATTCCTTAGGCGTTATTCTCATCTAGTATTCTCTTCCCAACATACCACTGAAGAGTGAACTGTGGTTATAGGAGCTGAAGCCTTCACGGTGGCACCAGCACTACAGTCTTTTGTTTACTGCCTGTTCTGTTCATTCAAAAAAGGAAAAAATTCTAATTACTAGGCTGTTATTTACTCAAATGAGATATGCAGTTGTTATGGATAGGTGGTGTTGGACTCCATATGCAGGCCAGATATGTTCTTTCAGAAATAATTAAATAGGTGACTTAAATTATAATTTGTGGTCTTATTCATTCTTTGAAGAAATAAGAAAATATATCTTTCTAATAGTGGAAAATGTTAAATATTCAGCTAATGACAAAAATAACTGGCTCCTTCTTGACAACTTAGAGCTTGTCCTGTACTCCCTAAATTTATTTATATTATGTACACAAAAAATAAGGGCCAAAATCAAACAGAGTTCCTCTGTTTTTATTTATTTATTCTTTTATTGTAGTGTAGTATATTGCTTCAGTTTGTTTATTTTTTGTATCAGATACTGTTTTATTTTAATTGTGTTTAAACTGGTAGAATATATAATCTAATTGTATGCTTTAACCATAACCATTAATTACATATTCTATTATTATATTTTATATCATGTTATTGCCAATTTTGTTGTATTGGTTTAGTAAAAGCTGTAAATAAACTAACAAATAATGACAAAATGAATTTATATTTAACAATGTATATGTTCTACTTCTCTCATAAAGTTAAAAATATCTTTATATAGTTTGTGAAGATTATAGTACACTGAATACAGTAATAGATGAGAATATCCTCAACAACAAAATACATTTATAAGCTAAAATTGGAACCAGTGTATATTCAAGTACTTTAAACAGAAATTACCTAAGTCTGTATAAAATTTAGAATCTCTTGTATCATTGGCCCAGATGAGGCTATTGTACTACTCAGACAGCACTGATTATGTGCCATATTCTTGTAGGAATCGCTAGGATTTAGGCATGTGCTTTCCTGAACACAAGCTATTTTTACTTACGTTACTATAACTTCACTTAATAAAACATATACTATAATATTTTAAGTGAGTCCTGCACACATGTCAAACCCACATTTTCAAGTTCAATATTAGGAAAAACAGCTTTTTCTTCAAAATAGTTTACACGGGTACAGTAAAAGCTGTATTAACCGGCATTTTAGTAACTGGCACACTCTACTAACTGGAATTTCGAGCCGGCTAGCTGGATTGTGGGGGGAAGCTTGCATGTCGTGACCACTACCACTACCCTGTGCTGACACCTCCTTCCCCGCCCCCATGTCTGGCCGAAAACCCCTGCCTCAGGTAACCTGCATTTTTAGATTATCGGCATCTCCATTCCCCACTCATGCTGATAACAGAGCTTTTACTATATGTTGTATATTTCTGTTAAGGTACAGTGACATTGTAGAATCATATAAAATTATGGTTGGAAGGGACCTCAGGACATCATCTAATCCAACCCCCTACTCAAAGCAGGACCATCCCCAACTAGATCATCCCAGCCAAGACTTTGTCTATATTCCTATTATAAGGTGGCTGCATAAATTGAGTGCTGTTCTTCTGATTGTTTTGTAGGAAAAGAAGAAAAAATGACAGACATAATCAGAGCAATGCAATACTTAAATAAGGATTCCCTAAAATACATTGGACAGGCAAAAAAGAAAAAAATCAAAGGTGAAGTAAAAGGAGGGAGCTAAGACATAAGTAAAGCCTGGCAATCTGGAAAAGATTGACATAAGGGAACTGTGATTCAGAAAGACCAAAATAATAATTGAAAAAAGGATACAGGAAGGGAAGAGCAGTGTAGGGCATATATAGGGACAGTTCGGGAAAACGTTTTATTGTAATAGTTCCTATAGTTTAATTACTATCTTTTACATAGATAATTTCATATAATGTACCTAACTTTCCAGTTTTTGGGACTGATGGATGAAATCCTACACATGTGCTAAGAATTGTAGGCATTTTGTACTATATGTTGTACAAGACTTCAGAAGAATAAACTAATAATAGGTAGCATGCACTGTAGAAATGTTCTTCTGTCTATTTGTTAGCCCTGTCCACTCCCCAGCCTAAAAAGCTCTGTATAAAACAAAACTGGTTTCCCTTTATGCTGTTGAAGCTAGAGACTGTAACTATATCATTAGTTTTTTCAAATCCCATGGGTCAACACATTTACTGATACATTACTGTTGAAAGTTACTTCAATATAACCTACACACAAACTGTCCAAGCACTTTTATTATTCTGTTCATGCTTGTCCAGAGTTTGGACAGTTATTTTCAGATTTTCATTTAATTAGTTCTGGGATTGCAGAGAATATTTTTCATGCTATTTTCTATCCAGCTCAATCTGTTTTACATTTTGAATGTAATGCCTAAAAATAGACAAGGTTAGGCTGCTATCCTTTAGAAGATTTAGGAAATATTGCTGCATCAGGAAATGCTGCATGCATGAGATTTATTTTTGCTCATCTTGTATCGTTACTCCTGAGGCAAAGTGACTGAGTACACCAATATGTAGCTTCAGAATTCTTGAAGACTTAATATGCTCAGCCAAGAACACTAAGTCTGAGTTTCAGAGGAGTACATGACACATGCATGTATGACATAACTGGCAATGAATTTAGAGCAATGATTCTTAACCAAGGTATCCTGAAACCCTGGGTGCTGTGAGATCCTTTTAAGGGTGCCGCACAATATTACCTTAGTTAGGTATATATACACACCTGCACATGATTCACAAGATAAACCCAGAGATCTCAAATAGGAATCCACAGTGCCAAAATCATTCTGATTTGTTGTCTTTCTGTGTTCTTTGCAGTAGAAGAATTGTTCTATCATTTTTCCATAATGAAAAAACATGAAAGCTAAGAGCTGGTATTTTCTGAGGGTGCCTTGTGTCTAAAATAGTTGAGAACCAGTAAGACAGACAAAGCTTTTTAAATTTTAGATTCTGTGGTATAGTAGGATTTAGGTTTACTCCCATGTAGCAGGTAGACTGCTGTATCCTACTTGTAGAACATTGCCTGTCTTTTGATGTACTTCCAGAAAAATTTTCAGAATAATCTTGCTTCAAATAATTTAGCTTTAGGTATTTTAGAGCTGGACATTTTAAGACTTATTCTTGGGTTAAAAAAAGTCCAGGTAACTTATTGTTGCTTTATGTTGGAAGGGTAAATAGTAGGTGTTTTAACAAAACATGTTCTTTCTCAGCCATACTGTACAAATGTTGCACAACTCAAGAGTTTCCTTTTTCTCCTGACTTCTCATTTTTCCTGCAAATAGTTTCACCTGGGGTATAATTTTGAGGGGGGAGACTCAGTGTTGTTAAGTGCTGTAGCTGCTTTTTTTTACATTCAAATAGGAATCCAACATTACAGATACCTTGAAATATTTCTATTTCCTCTGTATACTTAAGGGACAAAAGAAGGGAAGCCCCATAGTGACTGATCTTGCTATTGTTATGCAGAGGATTACTATGGATTTTGAGAGAGAAAAATATTATTTTTATGCTTTTTAAATGAAAAAAATCATATCCTTTTCTGATTTTAGAGTTCCATTTAATTACTTACCTTTTTCACGACTTCATTCTATTCATTAGTAGCTCTTTTGATGCAATTTAAATAGCACCATCAACATATGTTGTGCTGTACAAAATAGAGTAAGATATAATTTAATCAATTTTGTGTAATATAATTCAACTATCCTATAAAATGCCATCTATATTATTTAATATGAATAAATTTAAAAGAGCACCTTAAAGTAAAGTGTGAACTATTCAGGGAGTTAACATCAATGAAGAAGTAACAGAAGCTCCTTCTTTTTGTGAGTCCTATCTGCAAAGTGCCATTGTACATTATGGAAGAGCACATGTGCTCATTTCTACTTACTCGTATTATTCTTTTTCAGGAAAAGTGAGAATTACTGGGTTCCTTCACACATTATGATTGGACCTTCATAGGATTTTATTTGAATTTAAAGTATGCTTTTAACCTCTACAGTTCTCCTTCAAGGTCCACAAACGCTGTGTATGTTAATTAAATGCAAAAACAAAAAACACCCCAAAACCTAAGATGGTGTACTACAGATACAAAACAGGGGGGACTAGAACTTCTCCACTCCAGTGCCAGTGAACAGATGAGGTAAAATGTGCCCTGCTGATCCCAGCCAGAGAACCATGCTCTGTGCCGCATAGGAAACCAAAAGAATTCCTAACGTTCTTGTTGTCTGCCCTGGAGGAAAATTCCTTTCTGACCCTGGATCTGTCATTATGTATGACCTTGAGCATATGAGCAAGGTAATTCCATGCACCAGTGAACTGCACTCAATATCCTATTTTCAACCAAACCTAGAGAAAAATAATGTTTGTCAATTCCTACAGATGACTAGCTGAGACCTTAAAGCATAATTTGATGATAATCATTATTTTATTGTGGAACTGCAAATGGTATGATTATGTTCAGGACCATGACAGAAGGGAATAAACCTGAGGGTCCGATCCGTAGAGTCTCAGATCAGAAAGAACAGCCACAACTACCCAGTCTGAGTTTCTTTTCTCTGGACAGAGAGATTAAAAGGCTTCTTCAGAAATCTAGATCTTCAAGAAGGCTACCCCATCTCACATTTGACTCCAATTTTTGGCAATTCTACTACTTGTCATGAAAAGATTATCCAACATTTGATCAGAGAACTGAACCTTTTTTGAAGCTGAGGTTCACTAACTTTTACTTCCACCCACTGGAACTTGCTGTGCCATTGCCTGACTCTCCCTCCACACTTGCATTAAACATTTGTACTATGTTCAAGTACCTTTACATAATGATCAAGTTAATTCTCTTTTCTTTGTTCGTATTTGTGGTCCTCCTTGTGACTCATGGTATTCCTACACCTTTCAGTACTCAGCATTCTAGTATTGGTCTTATGAATGTTTTATACAGAGGCAAAACCATTTCCCTAGTTCTTTATGTGTTATACATATGAGCCTTTTTGCCTCCTCATTGTCCTAAAACATTATTACACTGGCCTCTAAATCTTTTTCCAAGTCATTGCTTTTTAACCCGGTCTCTCATCCTGTAAGTATAACTTGCTTTCCTGTTTCTCATATGTATTGTCTTACTTTTATCTGTATTAAAATTCATTGGCCATTTAACTAAGTGATCCATATCACTGTAATAGTAAACTCGTCTTCCTCAGGAAAAATGTCTAGCATTTGAAAGCTTCTCTTAACTTTATCCGAACTACGTAGTTGATCCAATAAATGATATCGCCCTAAACCATCCTTGCTTCTAATATAATTTCTGGCTGTAATATCACTCTAACACTATAGTAAACTCTCCTCTGGTTTCAGGGTGTGTGCTACATGATCTAGAGTGGAGTAAACCTGTCACTTCCTAGATTGAGACCTGGTGTTATCCATGACCCTCCAGGGCTCTTCCTCTAGGACGGGGGTGGGCAATTATTTGGGCTGGAGAGCCACTTAATGAGTTTTGGTGAGCTGTTGAGGGCCATACACACACGTGTGAGTGTACACAGCCTCCCCTTTTTCCTAAAAACATAATTACATAAGGATGTGGCAGGCAAGCAGAAGGGAAGATCACCCCAAAAAAGTAGGGGTCACAAGGGCTGAGTGGGCTCCAGGAGCATCATGGCCACTCCTGGGGCGGGATACTGTTACGCCTCTTAATCCCTTCTTTTCCCCTTGTACAAGGTAGTCAGGGAAACAGAGGCATGCAGCATTATTACAATACAGGTTTCCATCATTTTATGCGTGTTCAGTATGTGGGAATTCGCTCTTATGCATTTAACTTTTTTATACCAAAAATTTGTTATATGGGAAAATTCACTCTTATGCAATCAGTGTGGTGGAAGCCTACAGCCAGCTGCTTTGTGCGATGCATTGTGGGAGTGGCGCACACCAAAATATAGTCTCCTGTGTGGATCTGTGCTCCTTGCTCGTTGTCTGCGACACGTGTTTCTGTAGCTGCCATTCCCAATATGGCTTCTAAGCGTCCTGCTAGCTCATCTCCTACCCCTCTCCCTGGTCCATCAATGAAGCGCAAGCAAACTTCACTAACACTAGAGACAAAACTGGAGATTTTGAACTGTGCAGAAGCTGGTGAGGGGGGCCCTCTGTCCTTGTGTGTACTGTCTGTTGTTGGTGAGTACCAAAATTGTCTTGTAAAAGTGGTAGAAATGGGTCTGGGTGTCAGTCCAGTCGAAGTCTTGGAACATATCCCTATTTGTTACATTGTAAAATGAGTTCCCTTTATGTGAATTAGAGTTATGCGCCATTTTTCAGGAGTGCATGTACAGCATAAAGTGAGGGAAACCTGCAGGGACACGGTTTAATGAGAAATATTACAACAAAACCATTGTCTGTCACAATAAGATATGCTAAAAAGTGTGTGTGGGGGGGGTTAATTAGTATCTCCCCTACTCCCCCCTGTCAAGCACACACACATGCACCTGTTTGTATATGAGGGCTTTTGGTGTCATACCTGTCTGTAGAGAATATGGCTGCTTCCCCCTCCTGTACCCCCCAACTTGCATATTGTATTGTTCCCATTGTTAGGTTGATCTCTGAATATAGGTCAAAC